CTTTAATTTACTCATGAATTTAACTACTAAATTATTATAATATTCACAAAACCCCTTCTCTGATTATAATCAGCATATGCTTAGTAGTGACTGTCTCCAAGATGGATTTCCTGGAGTCCTAGTAGGAAGTCGTGACCAGTGTTGTTCAGCCAGGTGACAATGATGAACGGTGAGTCAATATCGTGGATTGGTTGGAGTTACACATTAACTCCGTTGGATACCGGCCGGCTTAATGGTCCTGGTTTCGAATGTTATGAAGCAGGATCATGAATGCGCACTGGTGAAGAGTCTCATACTAGGACGAAACGGCCATTCAATGCTTTCAGGTTTTTAATGGTTGGTCTGACATCAATTGACTCATGAATTCAACTCTTAAATTAATTTTGTTTCTAATAATAAATAGTCTACAATTTCAATGCCCATTTTTTATTACTCTGTATTATATTCCATTTAAATAAGAGAATAAATGAATGATCAATTCAAGTTTCATAAAAGAACTATTATTTAAATCAATCATAGAAACAAACAAAGGTGGTGGGGGAGGAGGAGGAGGAGGACATGACAATAACAATTAGAATTGAAACACTAACTCTAACTCCCTCTTCGTTTTACTCCTCGTTCTCCTTCCCCCCACCAAATACCTCCCCCTTCCTTGACAATATGAAATTAGATACTATTTTCTATATTACTATGTGTCATTTATGTTTTCAATAGATGACAGATGAATGATTAATTTAACTTATGTATATTACATAGTGACTTATTATGTAATATGATTATGACATGGGTTATATTGTTCCCTTTAATTTTTAGATAGTAAATAATTGAAATTTTTAATTATTAACTGAAAGAGACAGTTTGATTATAAAGAAATTTACTTTAGATAAACAATTATGTAATACAAATCCAGGACCTATCGGTCTCGTGCCAGGCGCTTAACCAACTAGACCACTGGGCCGGCATCCAATAAGGTTAATGTCTAACATCAACCAATCCACGAAGTTGCACCACCTTACACCATTGTCTTCAGTGAGCTGCAATCTCACAACAGACCTGGTTGATCTCCACAGTGATCTAGTTCCTTAATCGCCTGGCGCGAGACTGATAGGTCCTGGGTTCGAATCTCGCGGGGTGAAAAATCGTGGATGCGCAATGCAGAGGAGCCCCATACTAGGACGAAAAGACCGTCCAGTACTTCCACCATCTCCTGTTCTCATAATCCACTCACACACGTGATAGTCACAACTTGACGTCAGCAGCACATCTAAACACTTTTCACTAGTTGCATTACAGAGCAACAACACCAGATATTTGTGCAGGCGAATACAAACCACAATCAGTCAACTCGGTTGACCGCGAATTTCATAAGTAGGACAACATGGATGGAAGTGGTTTAATTTGTTGATGTTTAGGAATTCTGTGATTTTCAATTGACATTGATCAATCAGTGGTTGAACTGACTTGATTTATGCCTACTACTATGTGTATAGTGGATGCAGTACCAACAAGTTATATTCCACTGATCCTGTATATCTGTTTGTGTGTGATTGATTGATTGATTGACTGACTGATACACACGACAGTGTTCTCACATTTTCTTCTCCTCTTCTCTCCTCCACATTCTCATGTCGATCGTTAGCGTCGTTACAGTCGTACTCACCACGCACATGTTTCTCCACTCTCCCACCTTCCTAACATCAATGCACTGGGAAACTAGACGACCAGCGATTCACAGAATTTACAAATTGTGTATGTGTGTGTGCATGTGAAGATTTTGGGTGTATTCAGTGATTATTTTGGGAAACAAGCCAACCTCAATAAAGATCGTGAATGATTAATGGTGTTGTGTGTGCGTATGATGGAGTTAGTGAGTGATTGGTTGAGTGGGTTGGTGGTTGAGTTGTATGTGTTGCGAATTGTAGTGATGAAGAATGTGTTGTTGGATATGGATGTAGAGTGAATGTGTGGAATTTGTGTCTGGTTATTGATCATTGATAGTTGAGTGATTGTGATTGAAGTGAAGTGAATTGAGTGAAGCAGAAGCACTAAAAGCAGACGTAGCGGCAACTGCAAGGATACTCCACATTCTCTTCAATAAGATTTGGGATGAGGAACATGTACCAAAAGACTGGAAAGAAGGACTTCTGATCAAAATACCGCAGACAGGCGATCTCAGCAAGTGTGATAATTACAGGGGCATCACTCTTCTCTCAATACCTGAAAAGTCTTCAACAGAGTATTGTTAAACAGGATGAAGGACTTCGTAGACGCCCAAATTCGTGACCAACAGGCAGGATTTCGTAAGGATAGATTATATACAGACCAAATCACAACTCTACGGATCATTGTGGAACAATCAATTGAATGGAATTCATCACTCAACATCAACTACATTGACTACGAAAAGGCATTTGATAGTGTGAACAGAACAACACTATGGAAGCTTCTTCGACATTAAGTCGTGCCTCAGAAGATAGTCAATATCATACAGAGTTCACATGATGGATTAAACTGCAAAATCGTGCATGGAGGACAGTTGACAAAGTCGTTCGAAGTGAAGACCGGTGTCAGACAAGGTTGCTTACTCTCACCCTTTCTCTTTCTCCTGATGATCGACTGGGTCATGAAGATGTCAACATCTGAAGGGAAGCACGGGATACAATGGACATCTAGAATGCAGTTGGACGATCTGGACTTCGCAGATGATCTGGCCCTTCTATCCCAAACGCAACAACAAATGCAGGAGAAGACAAACAGTGTAGCAGCAGCCTCAGCAGCAGTAGGTCTCAATATACACAAAGGGAAGAGCAAGGTTCTCCGATACAACACAGCATGCACCGATCCAATCACAATTGACGGAGAAGATTTGGAAGATGTAAAAACCTTTACATGTTTGGGCAGCATCATTGATGAACATGGTGGATCTGATGCAGATGTGAAGGCGCGGATCGGCAAAGCAAGAGCAGCATATTTACAACTGAGGAACATCTGGAAATCAAAACAACTGTCAACCAACATCAAAGTCAGAATTTTTAACACAAATGTCAAGACACTTCTACTGTATGGAATGGAAAATTGAAGAACTACGAAAGCCATCATCCAGAAGATAAAAGTGTTCAATAACAGTTGTCTACGTAAAATACTTCGGATCCATTGGTCAGATACTATGAACAACAACCAACGCTGGGAAAGAACAAACCAGATTCCGGCGGAGGAGGATATAAGGAAGAAGCGCTGGAAGTGGATAGGACACTTATTGAGGAAAGCACCCAACTGCGTCAGAAGACAAGCCCTCACATGGAATCCTCAAGGCCAAAGGAGGAGAGGAAGACCAAAGAACACATGGAAATGAAAAAGATCATGAAAAAGATCAACTAGAATTGGATGGAATTAGAAAAGGAGGCCCAGGACAGAATGGTTTGGAGAATGCTGGTCGGCGGCCTATGCTCCATTGGGAGTAACAGGCGTAAGTAAGTAAGTGCAAATTGAGTGAGTAAGTTAGCTGTGAGGTTCGGTGGGGTGATGTGAGGTGAATGATACACATGAGATGTATATAATTGGGAAAAAGGCCATCCGAAAGTAGCGGATGTTTCATGCCTCAGGAGAGTGGGCATCAGATGCCCTTTCCGACCTTGTGCAGGGGACTGCCAACCATCTCTCCTTTTCTGATGCACGATTTGTAGTCGACAACACTAACACACCTCACAACAACACGCTTCACACTCACATCTGCAACAGCTGTGCACATCTCAACGCAATCTTCTTCATACATCAACAAACACACCACACACTCTTCTACACATAATCTAAACTACGCTCCACACTCCACAATCTCATCAGTCAACAAAACTACTGCATAAACTCAACAATTCACCATCACCTCATCAGTAGTATATTCAGTTTACACAACGAATTCCCGATCATGCACTCCACTAAACAACAAACTACTGTCGAGCATTTCAGTAGCACAGTGAAGTCAACTAAATATCGTCGGTTTATTTTGTATCGCATTGCATTGCATTTCGTTTCATTCCATTGCGTTACGTTGCGTTGCGTTGCGTTGCGTTGCGTTGAGTTCCATTGCATCACATCCAGTCGGGTTGCGTTCCATTCTGCTGCACCATCTCCTGGTCTCATAATCCACTCACACACGTGATGGTCACAACTTGACAACTTGACGTCAGCAGCACATCTAAACACTTTTCACTAGTTGCATTACAGAGCAACAACACCAGATATTTGTGCAGGCGAATACAAACCACAATCAGTCAACTCGGTTGACCGCGAATTTCATAAGTAGGACAACATGGATGGAAGTGGTTTAATTTGTTGATGTTTAGAAATTCTGTGATTTTCAATTGACATTGATCAATCAGTGGTTGACCTGACTTGATTTATGCCTACTACTATGTGTATAGTGGATGCAGTACCAACAAGTTATATTCCACTGATCCTGTATATCTGTTTGTGTGTGATTGATTGACTTATACACTCGACAGTACCAACAAGTCATCGTTGACAATGGCGTAGTTGTATGCACTCTTGGCCTTTTTTAAATTAGAATATTAAAATGGTTTCATTTTTTTCTTACAATTCACTAATGCTTTCTTCCTGTATTATATCCTTATGTGCAGTCTTTTTTTGTACATTACTACCATTGACTTAACTACTCCTATGAATTCGGTTTTCATCTTGCTGTGGTAATTAGTTATATCAACTTGGACCGATGCACATATGTGCCTGTTACTGCGTTGTAACTAACGAACTGACTAACTATACAATGATCATTTTCATTTCAGGTCAAGACAATGAATGATAAAAGTGATGTTATTTAGTTAAAATGCGATAATAATAATCGTAATCATAAATTTCATACAACACAAATGTACAAATTTATATATCTGTATATAAGTAGTTTATAAGTAGTATAAATTCATAGGAATGATAATACTGTTTACATCGTTTCCTCTCTTTATTCTTATCTTTCTTTCTTTCTTTTTTATTTATTTTAATAAAGGAATAAAACAAAATTAATGAACAAGTAAGTTGTTATTTTTAGATAATTTTAAAAAATCTTTTGTTACTACTGATAAAGAATCTGTAAGTAATATTGGTGATTCATGAGGAGATTGTGTTGAACTATTATTCATTGTCATCCATGTTGAAGTTGAGGATGATGATGAAGTTGATGATGATGATGGATAGGAAGGTAAAGAATGATTGACTAAGCTAAAAATGAATTTATAACAACCAAATTGTATAATTGAGACATGTCTCAAAATAGCCGACCCTTCCCAACCAGTGATTAAATTGAATGAATCTGTTTTATCATTTTGAGTAAAATGTAAACTTGTACAATCACATACAGATGTCATATGTGATAAATCCTGATAAAGTATATGAAAGAAAAAGAAAAAAAGAGAATAGATATAAATAAGGATAATAACAATGACTGAGAATGAGAAGAGTCAGTTCTCCTTCTTGAAATGATCTGACAGGGAAATCCTACTTTTACTACATTGTCGTCAAGGGGGGGGTTGTTTATGAAATTAAGAGAAGGATGAAAGGCGAGTGTTGGACGCTTTAAATGGGTTGGTGAATATGAAGAATCCACCTAGGACAGTTGAAGAAACCTTCACTTCAAACTGATGGTATACATGGGCTCCACTATCCTGAGGGAACAAAAGGTTTATGAACTGTTAGTTGGTGACTAGCTACCACGGAACTGCATCTCCTGACGTTGCTCCACTACCTTGTGAACTAGACCTGTAAGCCAAATGCTCGAGGTGTGGCCTCCTAAGAAATGCATCTACGTCGGTTTGAGCACCTGAGCAGCAATCTCAGCCCTCACATAAATTGAATGATTTATGTGGAGCAGATCTGTTTAGTGACTACGCGTACCATTGTTTATGTGTTTAAATAAAGTAAAGAATAATAATAAACGAGTGAGTTTGCCTTGTAACTAAGTGAGACCTCAGTAGTGAACGAGTTTCAATGACGATATTTTCTGTTGAATAATATCCATTTAAATCCATAGAGAAGTATGCAAGTTTTTCAAAGTGCAAATATGACTTGCTGCTGAATGTTAAATTTAGGGTTCAAGGATTTCTTGTGAATTTACTGGGAAACATTTAATTAGACTTTTTCAGTTTGCATTAAGGATCATAAATATAATTTAAACACATAAACATATGTAGGAGGCACCAAATAGATATGCACCACATTTCACTATTCGATTTGTGTGAGAGATAATAGCCGGATGCTACAACGGAAGCAAGTGGTTCTCGTAGAGGGATACACACGGAGCCTTTGACCAGTGGTCTAATCCACAAGACAGTGGAGCAATGTTAAGAGATGTAGTCATATGGTGACCGGTAACCAGCAATAGATTCATACGCCATTTGTTCCCTCGTGATCCTGGAGCCTATGTACACCATTGGTTTGGAATTACGCTTTTTCTACTCCCCTACGTGGACGCTCCATATCCACCGACTAGCTAAAGCGCCGAACATTCGCTTCTCATCCTCGTAATCTAACAAAAAACACCCTCACCACGAAAAGGCAGTTAGTAGGACTTCCCTGGCAGTGATTATATACGCGTGGCCATTTGGAAGCGTTTCGATATTAAGAGTGGAATCTCTTCACCCTCGACCACATCAGGACATTCGAGGGCAATATTTCACAAAGAAGATTTTTTATCACTATTATACAATATGCAATTTCGCACCAAGGCAACTAACTTAAAGTTGGAAAAACAATATAAAATAATAAGCATTGAATACAAATATTTTGTTCTCATTCGAAATGCGTCGACATTGTGGTTTGTACATGTACAATCACCTCTATACCATGAGATCGCAACTAGGTTACTCATGTCAGACAGTGAACATTAGAATTGAAATCTACAAATTTACTACTAAAAAGTTTGATTTCATAGTTTATATTACGAAATGAGTTTCGTTATACAAGTTGTTAAATTTTTTGCCTACTCTCCCTCTTTCTCTTTTTTTTGGTGGTGGTCGACAGGAGTATGAAGAGCTCGACAATTCAGGAAAAGCACGGAATACTAGACGATTTTAACATTGTACATGACCTACAACTTCTGTCTCATTCACATGAACAAATGTGGATCAAGACAAACTGTGTAGCAGCAGCCACTGCAGCAGTAGGCCCAACATACACAACGGAAAAAAGCAAGATCCTTAAATACAACTCGAAGAACACCAGCTTAATCACAATTGATCGAGAAGCTCTGAAATAGGTGGAACCTTTCACGTATATGGGAAGCATCATCGATGAACAAGGAGGATCGGATGCAGATATAAGGGCGAGGACTGGCAAAGCAAGGACAGCATGCCTACAGTTGAAGAACATATGCAACAACCAACATAAAAGTCACAATATACAATGAAAATTTTGTTTTTGTAAAAGTACAAATTCCGTATGGAAATGTGAACACAGTTAATAAAAAGGGTTATAATATTAGATTACGTAATATGAATAATAATAATAATAATAACCATAGATTTAGTGATTATAATAAGATGATTAAAATGTTTTATTGTTATAATAATTAAAGGTCAATAGAGGTGTAAAAATAAATAAATATGGTGATATGATGAGTATTCACTAATAAAACAATGAGAATATAAGATATAAGTAAAGGGGAGAATGTAATAATAATAATAATAATAATAAGAAGAAGAAGAAGAATAATAATAATAATAATAATAATAATAATAATAGGATCATCAAAATACTTAAGGCCAAGGTAACGATAACGATAAGACGTACTTGTTTTGTACTCATAGTTCTGGTTTAAGCTCCTGGATGGCAAGAGCTTCGGCTATTTTTAAACGTTGGATGCGAAGAAATCTGGGTAGATTTGAACGAATCATATAAACAAACTTAAATTCATTTCTTGGATCTGTGGAATGGGTACAGTCGATTAGGTGTTCAAGTATAGAACTCTTAACTGCTATCGTTTTCCCCTCATAGAACCAAGCTTGAATATGTTCCCGTATCCGAGTTGGAAGCGAGCGCTGGCTACGGCCAATGTACCTTGCTCCACAAGAGCAGGTGAACTGGTAGATGCACATAGAGGTGACCAGACGCGGAAGCTTGTCTTTTATGGACACGGAAAATAAGTTCCTACTCGTGAAGTTTATTCGCAATTTAGCTGCATTAAATGTTCGTCTAATAGTTGTTGTTAGACAATTTTTGATTACTTCTGATGTTCGATCACCTTTAAATTCCAGACTTATATAAAGGTTTTTCTTCGTAACGGAGCAACTAGGTTTCTTATCACAACTACTTCTATTCATATTCTTTTCTATGAACCGTTCTGGGTAGCCGTTTTCCGTCAGGGTTTTCTTGAGGAATTCAAGTTCTTCGTTAACGCATTCCGTACTGCTTATCTGACGTATTCGATAACATAAAGAGTGGATGAGATTTCTCTTTCTACTTAACGGAACCCAGCTATAGAAGTTAGTTAGCTGTCCATTCCATGTTTGTTTTCTGAAGATTGATCGTTTTAAAGAACCATTACTCCTTCTCATCAGACGTACATCGAGAAAAGTAATTGATTGGTCTCGTTCCCTTTCTAACGTGAAGTCTATAGAAGGGTGGCATGAGTCAAAGGTGTTTAAAATATCCTCTAAATCAACATTATTGTCACAAACGATAAACGTGTCGTCCATATATCTAACATACAGGTGAAATTGACTGATCACCGAGCTTAGTTGGTCGTTTTCTAATTTTGCCATGAAGCAGTTTGCTAAAATCGGACCCAATGGAGACCCCATTGCGATCCCATCCCTCTGTCTATATATTTCATTATTAAAACTAAACTGGACATTAAAAGTACAGCGTAACAATAGTTCTTTCAAGTGTTCAGTCTGCAAACCTAGATCTATGTTGTTGGAATCAATATACTCACATATATAACATATCGTTTCGGTTAAATGTACGTTAGTGAACAAAGAATTAACGTCATGCGATAACATGTGTTTTCCGGAAGTGTTAACCTCCTTAATACGATCATTAAATTGAAAAGTATCATGAATAGAAAATTTAGATACTTGCCTTCTAACCGGTTCCAATATTTCCGCTAGCCATTTGGCGATTCTGTGGTATGGTGAAACCGACATATCCAAAATAGTTCGTAACGGTAAACCCGGCTTATGTACTTTCGGTAGTCCATATAAGCGCGGGATGATTGAACCCATGGGACGTATGTGATTATATAAATCTTGGGTTATTAACCCCTTATTCTTAAGAATTTTAACAACATCTGTTAGTTGTTTTTCGATTTGCAATGTTTTATCAACTTCTTTAAGTTTGGAGAATTTAGTACTATCCTCTAGAATTAATTTCATTTTATCCAAATATTCTTGGCGGTCAAGTAGTACTACACCAGCTCCTTTGTCAGGTTTACTTAGGATTAAATTCTTATTTCTTTTCATGAGTATTAGCTGATCCAAATGGTTCTTAGTTAATAGGTTATTCATACTACATTGTGCATTAACGTATCCATGACTACAGTCCACCAATGTAGATTTAAAGTGCTGAACATTTTTTCTGGGGATGTTGGCACAAGATCATGAGTTTGATTTGATAGATTTTCGAATTGTATTTGTGTATGAAGTCTACTAGTTTTGGAGGTGCTGTTACAGAACTTCGGACCCAATGATAAGGCCTGTTTTATTCGTGAATACTCATCATATCACCATATTATTATTATTATAACAAAAAAACATTTTAATCATCTTATTATAATCAATAAATCTATGGTTATTATTATTATTCATATTACGTAATCTAATATTATAACCCTTTTTATTAACTGTGTTCACATTTCCATACGGAATTTGTACTTTTACAAAAATAAAGAATTTTCATATATATACGATTGTACAGCTTGATAATAAATTCGTTGAAAAGAGATCCCTTCTCTGAAATTCGTGTTTTAATTTTAATGTTTAAATGGGAATTATCTGTCAGGTAAATGATCGATGTACATTATGTGATAATTGTGTTTTAGTGGTAGTAACAATGAATGAGGTTAATAGTCTGAATGAGGAAATAGTAGTAGGTATTCCATTCTCGTCCTCTTATTTTCGATTTTCCAAATGTTCTGTCTCCAAACATTCCACTTTCGATCAGTGATACATACTAATTATAACTGTCGAGATTGAGTAGCACACATCACACTAAAACTACCGACTTCCTACTCGAGATGTGAAATCAGCTGACTGAGATACAGAGGAAGACAGTACTATTCAGGGTTTTCCAACTCCCTTGAGTAGATCGTTCGTATCCAGCAACCTAGTTAAATCATCGGGCATTAACTTTTTATCTTCTCGATTTTGTAAAC